TCACTGACTTCTTCTATGCATGCAACACTATCGATTACAGTGGTGAATTCTCGCAGGAATAGGTGAATGTGCGGCAGTTTGAGGGGAAGAAGATGGGTTGGAGGAGCTGGAGCCCTTCTGCATCAAACTTGTTTTGGATTAATAGGTCCAAAAACAGTATCCAGTAAGAGTTCCCAGTCTAGACCCCCCAACCCAAACCTACCTCAGACGCATAACTAAAGCCATTTGTACATGCTCTACATAGCTCCAGATAAAACTCGGCACTTTTCCTCGACATTTTGCTAAAGAGTTGTTGTGCCAAAAACTGATTGCTTGTATTTAAACTGCTATAAATAACTTGTTGGTCTATAATATGTGAAACATATGTCAAATGTATCCCTCATGAATGATATCAAGTCATCTTGAGCAACAAACAACATTCCTGTAACAAGGTAGAAGCCCCAATCAGTTTTTGACAGTGACTTTATTTATTCTTTCTTTATGCAGTTAAAAAATTTCTTGTTGACTTTAAAAATGTCTCCTTTAAGAGTAATCTGGCCAAGAGGACAGCTGAAATTGCAACAAATGCAAAAATAGTTCTGTAAACATATTTAAGTGGACAAAAAGGAGCCGATGGATTATAATATAAGTACAATGACACAGTTACAAAGATTTATGAGAAACATGTAATTTTTTAATTTTATATATAACCCTTATGTAATACCTGTTCTCCAAGGTCTATCTAGCAACATACGTAACGATATTACACATAAAAACCCACGGAAACATTGGAAATCAGTTTTTGGCACAACAACCGGAAAGTAAATAAACGGCAGACAGAAATGACGCAGGTCGAATCGTCTTACGTTTCACGCATGCGCAATACATGAACGTAGCGTAGAAAACGATAGTTCGGACGCGGAGCGTTTTTAGACGACAACGCCGTTTGCAGATTTATCCGGATTAGTGTAGACGCCGCCTTATAACAAGATCTAACAATAAAGAAAACAAGGCATAAAAGAAAAATCCTTACTCGTATGGAGCGAGCAGCATCCATCAACTTCTCTGAAATCACCACTCTTTCTGCAATTTTCTCTTTGGTCTTTTCCAGATGGCTCTGTTAAGACAGACATGTAGAAACATATCATAATTACAATAAAAACAGCAAATGACATCATCAAAAAATAATTAAATAAATATATTTATTTGCATATTACCTGCAATTCTTGCCTTTTTGTTTCAGCTAATATAATGTCGTGGTCTTTGTGTTCATCCACCGCACACATGAGGCACAGGAACTGCCGATCGGTGCGGCAGTAAAGCTCCTGAAGTTTGTCATGACGGAAACAGATGCTTTCTTTGATATTTATAGAAGCTGTGATCAGTCTGTGTTTTTTAAGAGGCGGTACAATAAAATGAGGTTCCAGATGAGTCTGGCAGTAAGAGGCCAAACACACCTGACAGAACAGGCAAGCTTTACGTTTTCTCTCCGTGCAAATGTCACACTGCGCATCCCCAGGTGCAGCAGCACCCTGGCTGCTTGCCTTCTTCTTAAACTCCTCTACCAAGTTAGCCAGGATGGTGTTCCTCTTAAGAACAGGTCTCTCATTGAAAGTCTCTCTGCACAGAGGGCAGCTATACGTTCTCCTTCTGTTTCTTTTGGTATCCCAGTAGGTATAGATGCATTTCACACAGAAGCTGTGTCCGCAGGTAGTAGTCACTGGATCATTCAGTAACTGTGTACAGATGGAGCACTCAAACAGGTCCTTACTGTGAGCCATTTTTCCCGCACAAA